AGAGAGAAAGAGAGTATACGAAGGAGATAGAAAGATCCGCGCCTCCCCGGGATATTCGCCGAGATAACCGTGCGCGAGTAGTACTACTTATCAAAGATCCGTCTCGGAAGGCGTCCCAGCAACTTCGCTCGGCCGTCCCGACGTGGAAGAGACGAGAAATTAACTTCGTGCACCATGAAGTCGGGCGGCTCTCTCGCAAAGATCTTTTCTGATGTACGCAGCTCTACATTCTAACACGGTGGTTATGTAATTACCGGTATCCACTGACGGCCTGTCTGACAATGAGAGACAGAGTAAAGACCGGCGAATGCTCATATACGTAGCAGCCTCCACACGGTTGATTGTGAATGTCTAGTACATCGAATCGATAGATACAAAGTTATTTCCAAAGAAAGATTTTTTTCTGTGCGATACATCATACTTTATCTAGATTTTAAAGCGACTGATATAGTTTAGTATTTCACAAAATAATGAATTAGATTATCAATCAATATTTGAGAGAGAATTTTTAGTAACTTGAATAGATTTTTTAAGATATGTTATATATATTGTAATATTTTGATTTTACATTTATATTGTATTTTTGTTCTAATTATGCTTTTAATCGCATCAAGTTGTGTCTACAATGTATATCATGTTTACAGAAAAAATACTCGGCTATCTTACTCGCTTTAAAAGCTGCCGCTCTGCATATCAGATTGCTTACAAACAATTAAACAGACACCTTGTATTATAAATTTTCTTACTGGATGAACGTTCGGCGTAGATGCTAATTACAAGTAAACCTAACTGATTTAGCGCGTTGATTGCGCGTAAATCACTAAAGTACACAAGCTGACACTAGTGCGGATGCCTATGAACGCTAAAATTTACGCCTTACTCACGGCCGCAATTTATGAACATGCACTAAAGGATCCTTGTCTTAACACCTTATTTTTCGTTCTGCCATTTGTAAGGCTTACCGCATTTCATCTTGGCGACTCGTTCCGCCTTCGTACGTCTAAGAATGACAAATCGTTTTCCGGAAGAATGACCTTAAAAGAATACGTTCAAAAATTGACGGAAAATAATCTGTTTTATTCTTGGTTTTAAAAGACATTATATTATATCGCATTGCAAAAGTTTATGTCAAAGTAAATTAGATTGTAATTAAATCTAGGTAATTTTTGCAATAAATTATTTACAGGTTTTTAGGATGCTTATTAGCATTAACTGTATCATTAAATTGTTTGTCAAGTTTAATTTATTACTATTCTAGTTTTAGTTTAGGGTTGCGTTTCAAGATCGACAATAATTTTTGGCAGTTTACGTAACTGGATATAAGAATAAATTCACAATGAAATATTATTTAATTAAGCACTAAGATCCAGCTCAGATCAATAAAGTCTTCTTGTTACTTAAATCGAGATAGTTATGAATTAAGGAATATATCTATTTGCTAAAATATCTTTCTGTATATTCGATAAGCATTATTAAATAAATTACGGTTTGCTTATAAAATATAATGAAATACAAATAATATTTATCTTAAGTTTTATTTTATTTTTGAAATTCTTTTGATAGATTATAATTTTTTTTATAATTTGCAATAATGGAATTTATTTGTATACATCAAAAATGATTAATATTTCTCTGTGATCTTAACGCAATTAATTAAAACCGATATACTTTTCTTTCACAATACTCGCTTAAAGCTTCGCATATAAAGGCTCGGGATTTATCAGCAATTAGCAACTGCCGATCGTCCATACGAATAGCGAGCGTGACTAGCTCAGTTGTTCGATTCTTACGACTAGATCCTTACGACTAGCGGTCAGGATAGCTAATACTGTCGCGGTACCAATACCAGTTAGTACATCGCCAACATGTGTAGCCAATATATGCAGGTGTCTGCTATCTATATCCGTAACTCGTATGCAGGTTCGTCGTAAAGGTGGGCAAGGAGAGACACGACAAAGGGGCAAGAGGGGAAGATAGAGAATGCGCAGCGACACACATTTGTAAAAGAAGAGAGAGAGAGAGAATGTGCAGAAAAGTCAAGCAGAGATCGTAACGGGTTTGAAAGCGGATGCTTCGCCGATAAGACTAATTATTGTTCTGGACCAAGAGTCGTAGGCGGGCTATTGGTGCAGAACCATCGCCATCGTAGATAGCGCGACCCGCTCTCGGCATAGCGCAGGCCGCTAATACACTTACACTGCACTTCTTTTCTAACGTGCAGCGGTTCGGGTGAATCAAGGACAGGAGGAGCCGGATATCGGTCGGTAGCATCTCGCCGAGTGTCAAGACTCGGCCGCTTTTAAGCTCGGTACGCCACGCTCCACGTTCTCGAAGCGTATCTTACCGGCAGGCTATGTCCGGGATGCGCAACTCGGTGCGGTCCTTGTTAGCGGCCTGCCAATAGCCCCGCACGAACTGTGCTCGTGCGAGCATTTGCATCCTACTGAGCCCGACGTCGACATCCGATCGATCTCGATCGCCGGTGGAATATTTTCGTCGCGGAACCATCAATGACCTTTGTCATTACGATTGAGTCGGGAGTTGGTATTCTACTAAATTATCCAAATCCTGTGACTTCGATATAATAAACAATTAAAATAAATATAATAATATATAATATAAAAAATATAATATAATATAAAGTATAATATAAAAGATAATAAACAAGTCGTCAGAATATATTTTATTTCTTTTAAACAAATTAAGCTTTAAAGGACAAGAGAGGTTTTGTAATTTTTATAGCTTTTCCTCAAGTAAGATTTATTACGATTTGTTATGAAACAGTGTTACTTTGAAACAAGAAATACAAAAATAATGAAATATAATAATTTTTATAATTCATTATTTCGTTGTATTTCTTGCATTAAAATATGATACTGTTTCGACATCATTATAGTGGTTTTCCCGTCTTTAAAAGTTAAACAAAGCATTAAATCATACTGAATCAATTACATTAAATAAAGGGTTTTGCCTTTCTGATGAATGCTTATGAATAATGATTCTTCTGATGTAATTGTCGCACGCGTGTACGTATGAAGATCGTATCAAAATGCCATTCGCTGCTTCCGGGAACAGTCGTTGAACGGTCGTTGAAGTCTCTGGCTGGAGATGAAGATGGTGCAGTGCTGACGGTCACGATTGAAATTTTGAAACAATACCTCTTCAAATCCAGCTATCATGTACAAGTGGGTGGGGAGGGTTAGAAATGAACGGCACGCAAATAGATTGCATGGATTTGCGATCAAGCGCCCGAAGGGGGGCCCCCGGAAGGGTAGAAGACGGACCATGCTCGTAGCGGGCGGGGCTGCCCGCCGGTGGTCCGCCCGTTTGGTTCCTCGACTTCTTGCATTCCCCTCTTCGATACGCGCCTGGATCTGAGCGATCCTCCGAGAGGTCCTCCTTTTATCTCCTCTCGTCGTCGCCCCGTCGTTCTCTCCATAGTCGTGCACCTTCTCGCCGTCCTACGGCTGGTCCCAACCGGATCGGCCGGCCAGTCGCTTCCATCGAATGGTCCGCGCTGAGGCACCAGAGAATCGCTCCCGGTAGAGAGACAATGGACAATGGGGACATAAATCTGCGTAATTAGTTGCTGATGCACCCGCGGATCAATGTGCGATCTCCTTTCTCTCCCTCTTCCGTAGCCTGTCCGCGAACAAACGATCGTTTGGTTGGTCACTCGGCAAAGTAGGACGGTGCTCCTGGTTGTCCCCACCCTCTATGAGGGGAGGTGAGCTGACCATCTTCCGCTCTCGCCCTGCTCTCGCTTGGCTTGGCGATTGCTCGTGACCGAGGACACGGCACTCCCTTCTTCAGAGAGGACATGCCGGGAGCAAGATGGCGACTAGGAAGATTCCGTTGGCACTGAGTATTCACGTCCAGATCTATCAAGTGTAGCTTACTTTCGTATAGACAACCGTACGATAGTAATATAATGAGATGGTTTAATATATGCGTGGTATATTCGAATCATGAATACACGGTTAGAATTATCAGATATGACACAATGTGGAATTTCTGGATAAAATTTACGCAACGCAATTTCCTTCCATAAATGTTTATTGATCTTAGATCAGGTTATGTTCTTTGCACAGTCGCAAAGCGACAGTTCCGCCGTTCATTACCAAGGGTTCAAATGGAAACGATTTGATTAAAACTCATAATGCAGATGATGGAACTCCTTGTCCCGCCACACAATACCTCGTCGTCGACGACGTCGACGTATCCGACATAGCTCGCATTTTCTCTTTCTTCGTCTCCCTCTTGGGCGTCGTATTCGTCGTTGTCGTCGTCGCCATCGTCGTCGTCGTCGTCGCCGTCGTCGTCGTCGTCGTCGTCGTCGTCGTTGCTGTCGTCGCGAAAGGCTGATAAATGAACCGATAGTGCCATTGTGTTACTCGCCATCTAAACCTTTATATCACTCCTAGGTACTTAGCTTCGTCATTTCTCAGTATCTCCACTCTTAGGTCGTACGTTCTTCTCTGCTCTTCTATCAAGATACGGCGGGTGACAGAAGGATTTGATTCGCGTCCTACATCAACGATCTCCACGCAGAAAAGACGATGCACGATGTCGTCAACTGATATGTATTTGTGTCCGATTTTTTGATTTCTAAATTGCTTGGCAATACATAAGTATATCCTGCAATACAAGTTTGCTTGCTTGTCACCCGAGATTATACTGACAGGGAGAAGTATTTTCCTCCTAGTAACGATACAGTTGTGTATCGTATTTTTCAAACTCAACATCTTATCCGCAAGTGTAATAGAAAATTTGCCGATGGATCAATGAGATATCTAGATTGCTAAAGCGACATAACTACTTATATTCCGTTATACAAGTGGCAAAACACATCAATGAAATATTCGTTATACAGGCATTTAATAGAAATGTAACAGCACGTCGTTATTTTATAAGATGTGGCATGTTAATGGAGTAGCCATTTCTTGTTAAATTACGATTGATCTAATCTACTAATCCGCTATTTTACTTATTTGTTTCAGGGGAGGACGGCGTCGAAGGCTCTGCGCCCGGTACGGACCTCCAAGGCGAGGAGGGCGATTGCGTTGACGAGGATGGCCCTATTAGCCCCAGCGAGCGGGGCTGCGCGCCCGCTGCGAAGGAGGACGAGGATGCCGAGGGAACGGACGAAGAGGATGACGAGGAGGCATCGCCACCTACACCTCCACCTTCCGCCACCTCAAGGTTAAACCCGACTATCCTGCGAGATACGGGACCTCCGGATAGGTGAATTTTGCATCTATAATTTTTTATCCACGCATAATTGAAGACCTTACTACACCAAAGATTAAGAACACGGATTAATCCACAACGTAGCCATATGATATTGGTGAAAATGGATCACCAGCTCTTCAGTCATTTTTTACGGTTTTTTCAAAATGTCGGTTAGTTTACTGTTGTGATAAGATCTTCAATTGATGTTCTGTCTATATAACTACTGTCTTAATAATTACTGAGAAAAGCAATCACAATATGCATCAAAAAGAAACAGATACGCATTTCTCCATAGGATAAGTCGGTAAATGTTGATGGAGATAATTATTGAAACCTGAAAGACTTGATTATGTGTGTCAAGAACTTAAAAAAGCTTCTGTCGATATACAGTAATGACCAGAAACATCACACGTGTTAGCTAAAACGAGTTGTTGGACGAGTAATGACAACTTTTATTCGCACTTTCTCAGTAGCTATTTATATATCCATATTAACTTTCTTTGGTCTTCCTTATCACACTTGTATAAGTCGTGTAGATCTCCGTACATTTATATTCATGATATTTTTAAATTATTATTTTCAAAAAAATTAAGCAAAAAAGTTATTTGTAAATCTTTCTTTTAGGCAGTGGTTTTTGAGCTATAAAGATTTAAATATAGTTAATTGACTACATTTAGCTCATTCGCACTCGCATTACTACACATATGACTCAAAATGGCCGTCTAAATATAGCTTGTAAAATTGGTCATATTTAAAACATTATTAGTTCAAAAATTACTGCTATAAAATTTAGAAATAACTTTTTTACTTAACTTTTCAAGAATATTTTTTGCCATATTATTTTAATTCGCGAATTTTGGAATACCCTATGTATATATATCTCTCTGTCCACGTGTCTCCACGTATCTCCACGTGTCTCTTCGTGCCGAGGAGACACGTGGGTGTTACGTCCGCGAAGAAAGGAACACTCGACGTCAAGCGTTAGCCGTGCGAGGCAGCGGCCTGTACAAATCAGCCGCAGATAGCCGCGCGAGTGACGCTTCGGTGCAAATCACCTACGACGGTCGTAGCAGCGACGCGTAATGGCGAGCATAAAGTCGGAGGCTCGTACCTAAATTTCATTTGACGTTGTCTGCCGGCGCACTCATTAGCCGGTGCTTTATCCGAGCGTAAAGGCTCCTTATAATAAAGCGTTTAAATCATCGCGAGTCGCGCCGACGCGACACCACGATCTTTTTGATGTTTGCCGTCGTCGGGAGTCCCTCGTGTGTACACGAGGCACGTCGTTGTTTAAGAGCAACAAATCGTCACGAGGTCTCTTTCATAAATACATGTATGCGCGAGGTAAGCGTCGGGCGGCGAGGGTTAAGTGGTAACGGAACAAGCGGGTGAGCGGGCGAGCGGGCGAGCGAGCGGGCGAGGCCCCGGATAGGGATAAATAAGCCGGTGTCGGAGTTGATATCGGTGTCTGCCGCGCGCGACGTCACACGGCTAATAGAGATAGGCACGTGTTACACATCGTCCCACACCGACGATGCCCCACTAGCAGGCGCTGCCTCCTAACCGGGGGCGGCAGTGGCGCTCCCGCCCCCCCGTACACCCGCGCCGTCCCGCCAGCCCCCAAAAACTTCCCCTGCATGCGTGGCAGCGGTCCCCTTTCATCTCGCGGCACGCATTCGGCATTCAGTCAGGAACAGTCAGTTACGAGCGAGCCGTCGACAGGCCTGGAACGTCGCCGCGCTGCGCACACATCGCGCGTCGAGGCTCGCACAATCCATTACAACGTTCTATAATCGTTCCGACCACGTGCTCCCTTCCGACAGTCGATCCTCGTGCGCGTTGATGACGTTGCGACAGGTATCGATCGCTTCTGCACACTCGACAACTTCGACCAATCCGCGCGGTTTTTGTCGCGAGCTGGATGACTAACGTTCATCGGTGGAGCGTGCAATTAATCGTAATTTGTCCATGATCGGAGCTCCGTTACCTCGCGAGCGTTACGTTGTATTCACGTATTTGTGATCGTGCGTGAGTCGAGGATTCGTAGCAGCGATGTAAACGCGCGTATTTTAAGGTCGACAAATAACGCATCGCGTAGCATGGTGTATTTTCGTTCTCCATATCGATAATAATCTGTCGCATCTTGTCGCAATGTCCGTCGCATTTACATTTACAAGATACGCTCCTGTGTGTTGTGTGCATTTCGCGTGTACACACTAGCACGACAGACATTTTCATGCGTGAGTTATCCATCGCTGTTGCCATCGTTGCAACGTCTCTAGGCTCTATTTATCACGCGAGCCTTTTTTCCATTTATTTCTACCGATGATTCCGGGTATCCGTCGTTCTCATCATATAATACCGCGAAAGCTGTTTGCGTAGTAATTTCTATGGCGGACGCTTATGAAATATTAACGTCACGGCGTCACCTGCGTTATGCTGTGGTGCTCGCGGATCGGTTACAAGAAAATTATCGTGCGATTATCATGATTAATGACCACTGCCTGACTGCAAACGTTTCGTACTTTTACGCCAAGCTCCGATAAGATTCATTTCATCCATCATAGCCACACTTCGAATCCTAGAGAGATCTTGAAGAGAGGTACGTGTATTCACTCGTACTCGAAAATTATAGCGCTCGATATCGTTTACAATTTCAGGGAGCCAATGAGTCCGCGCTGTCCCTCGAGAGATTCTCGGGAATCATCCGGTCCGGCGACCGGAAGTCCCCCACCACCTGCTACCAGGAGCAGCGCGAGCCCAGTCAGTCCAAGTAGTATCGTGCCTCTACCCCTTGGAACTCACTCCCTGCTACCACCCCACTCGGCAGCGGTCATGGCGGCGTATCTGCAACAAACCCATCAACGTCTCCTCCTCGGCCACTCGCCGTTATCACGTGGCTCGGTGTCGCCGCTGGTTTCCTCCTCGTGTTCGCCACCAGCCGCCACCCCTGGCCTCTTGGTGTCACCTACCAGCGTCGGAGATATTTCGCCGTCAGCGACACCCCTGCCGGCTGTGTTAGACTTTAGCACGAGAAAGACGTCCTCGATTGAAGAAGACGAGGAGGAACAGATATTAAATCTCAGCAAACCACCTACGCCGTCTTCTTCGACGGAGACGAACAATGGTCCGTTGGATCTTTCGGTATCCAGCAGGAAACGACCTGGTTCGGAAGATTCGCCGCCGCCGCCACCTCGCAAGTCATCAAGACTGGGTTCCACGACAAGTTCCACGAGCCATCAGGAAACAGCACCAGGAGTTGCGCCATCAGGTTTCGGTAGACCCCCCGTGGTTTCTCCCTGGACGTCGCCGGTGGTGGCCACGCACTTTCCGTACTTCGCCGCAGCAGTAGCGG